CACACATACACACACACATCCAGCAGGCGAAAAATACAGCGAGCTGTGATGATAGCGGTCTCGAAAATGCAGTGCGTTTGTGTACAAGCCTGCCTGCCTGTCTGCTCTACTAGCTCTTACGAGGAAACCCGTTCCGGCGGACGTGTCTGTGCAGTTCTGTTAATGGACATGACTATGCACTGTCAGACGCTGCCGGCCTCCTACCCCTCCCTTATGACGACTTTTATGCAATGGCTGTGTGTTGTCAGCAAGGAAAGCACACGCTGCAATGGTTTCTTTCACGGTCAGGCTCCGGTGAGTCACCGCACGTCAGCCGTCATAGCCGGTAGGAGAGGTCGAAAAGACCAGGATAACCAAGTTCAACAAACTCATCAGAAAACTACCCAAGACTAGGTAGGGCAAAAAGAAGGGCTTATAGAGAGAGATATGAACTAGGCACAAAGGCTATGGGCGTGTCGATAGCTACAGCCGAAGGCAAAGGGTGGGGGAGGGGAGGTTTTACGGGCGCAAGAGTGGATTGATGAAGCGTTGCTACAACATAGGTAGGATGGGATTTCTTACATGCTCCGACCCCCTACCTCCCCATCAGGAGACTGGAATAGGAACGCAAAACGCGTGGCCTTGCACGAAATGCCGGGAGGAGTAAATACTACCGTGTCTTAATCCTAACACTAAACCCTCAATACCAACCTTAACTTCCCTCGAATTTAGCGCAAAGTCATCTCTATTATGGGCGGTCACTGCTCCAATGTCGTATTCGGGGTGGAAGGGGCAGTACAAGCAATCCCTGCCACCCAATATAGCACCTACGGTTTCGAATAAAACATAAGTTAGACCGCATCTCAAAAACACTGGAAGAAGCAAGCGAAGGGTATACAAAGGAAAAAACAAACTTGTATGTCGTGCGAAAATCCGTCAGCAAGCGAAGACATCTTGTGTTGCTAACTCGACCGTGAAGGGCCGTCGCCCCATATGATAGAATCACCCATATAGACCGAAGTCACTCGCGACGCCCTATCGCGAAAACTCCCCCGACCGCATTTTCCAATCAGAAAATAGACAGAGTCGGAATCTAAGAAAGGCTACGAAACACCTATTTTTAGGTGACCGTATGTCTTCAGCAGATGACTGGAAAAGCTGGTACTCGCAAAGAGTATTCGAAACAAAATGGACTCAAAAATTTAGAAGTATGTATACGTCAGGTAACGGCTCCGATTCAGAGAGAGAGAGAGAGGGAGGGTCATCCCCGGCGGCTTCCAGTCCAAAAGACGTCAGAGATTGGATAAATGTTGCCGCCTACGACACTTAAAAACCGCCCAAAATTGCCTTGCGGTCAACAATAGTCCACTTCTGTCAACATGTAGGCAGTAACAGCAGAACCCCAGAAGGTAGGGGTGAGAGGAAATAATTGGCAGAGAAGTCAGGATTCAGACAAGACTGGTCGAACTTACGAGTCAGTTTTCTCGAGACTCGGTCGCTGGATGGGTGAGTCGCGCGTCAACGGGGACAGAATTGGCGGTGGGGGCGATGAAGACGGCTTGCGCGAGAAAGTGTTGTTTGAGACGGAGGAAGTCGGTTTGGCGGCGTTCGGTAGAATGTCGTCGTAGACAGGAATGCCTTCTGGCTGAGTGGCTTCTGCCTGGCAAGACGGCTTTGCACTCGTGGGCGCTGACTGCGGCGAGGACGTGTCGGCCATATCGGAGATGGACAGGGTGAAACACTTGAAGACCTCGTCCATGAAAGAGGAGCCCATGTCGAAGAGCTGTCGAGGGAGTGAGGGAAGGAAGCTAGTCATCTGTTAAGCATGTAGTGAAATTTAGCTAACGTCCGAATCTGTCTCTGGTGGAACAGCGCCCAACCCAAGGGCGGGATAATTGAGACTGAGAATAAGAAACACAGCATATTTCTCACAACAAATAATCTGACGCACAATCAGAGTACGCTAAAGGCGGCGATTTAAAAGGCTACGGACTGATGATATAATCTGGTCCTCCTCTCAGACCAGGTCAAGTAGGCTGTGCCGGTTTCTTCTTAATGAGGCTTTTATGGCACTCCCACTACGTTTGGACCCAAGCTATGGCCTTCTTGTTTATGTGAAATGCTGTTCCCCTGTATACGCGCAAAAGAAATGTGCAATACATGTAGTTAAGCTGGTTAGCTCTGTCAGCTACGGCGCCGGTTTCCTCTTCCGGTCTTCTTGACTCGGTCGCCTTGACAAAGGACTCAGGTGAGTCAGGAAGGAGAGTGTAGGCGAGGAAGTGCAAATTCAAAATCATTATAAGCTCGAGCAATTCCCTGTCCCTGAATAAATATTATCGGACTGTAGTGATGAGTATTGCTAGTAATCCGTTAGCTTAGGACTCCGCATTATTTGAATTCAGAAGAAAGTGAAACGTCCACATAGGTTGACTCTAAAATAGCACAACTTCAGAAGAAGGTCAAAGAATTTTGCAAGCTGCTCTCCAGTGTGCACATGATAAAGGATGCAATTAGATAAACATTCTCAAATGGTAAACCACGAATAAAAAGAATAGTCAGCCAGACAGATAATAGGAAAGAAAGTAAATAGAAAACGTCCTCTGTAAGAAGTCTGATCTCTGCCGAGTTCGTGCCGGAACTCCATCCCTAAACTGTAGCCGTCATGCCTGTCTGTAAATTAATCCTCATACTCTTCCTAACATGCAAGGTCAACCAGTTGTAGTCAGGGTGACTATACGTGGCCGTAAGGGTTTTCTGGTTATTCGAGTAGTCGAAGTTGCTTCCCGCGGCCGCTGGCGGAAAGTTGTTCCGCATGTAAGTTGACGGTGTGTGCGGCGCTTCGCGCCACGGACTATACTAATATAGTTCCAGAACGGTAAGTTGGACTTCAGGCAAGTTGAAGTAGGCGACCTCCTAACCACCATTTCACTTTTTTGGGATATTCAAGAAACCTTCAATTTGATAATCAGGTTTTTCCGCAATAAGTTAACCGATAATACAGATTAGGAAAATCTACAGGTATAAATCAGCAACACTTCTGAATACAGTAAAATAAAAATTCACTCAGCATTTATTAAGATTTATTCCACTGCGTGTCCTAATTCCGCACCCAGAAAACCCTATAACCACCGTTTTTGTAGGAAAACATTCAGGGAGTAGGGATTAATGAGTGGGCCTACATAAGCTACTGTTGCCAAATTTTGGAATTAAAGTTTCAAAAATAAAACGTCTCTCTCTCTTTTGAAACTGAGCCACCATTTCTCTGCTCTCCATTCACATGCAAATTTCTTATGTGCACGCTGGTCAGACAAGTGCGCCCATTATACACCGACTTTTACACTGCAATGGCCAATAGCGCACGACGCTAGCCCCGTTTTGAAAGAAGTCCAACTTGGCCTACATCTTGCAACTCATTCAAGGACGATTCGTCACGACGCTGGCAATCGCACTGTTCGATAATTATGCATGTTTGGTAATCTCCTGGTGTTATTAGGTTTGTGTGCCTAATTTTACTCACAATGAATGGAGAACGTTTTTACTGAAAATGCTGGAATGATATGTTACAAAAAGCGCATCTCTTTCTCCCCTTTTCTCTACCTGGCAAAATTATGCCATATCGGTCTGAATGGCGAGGCGACGACTAATACTACTGAGGAATCGTCACGAACTCTAGAA